CCTAACTATTAGACGTAATAAATGGGAATATTAAATAGCCTTACATATACAAAACTTAATCTGCAAAGGATTTGACATTTTGATGAGTCAAGCAGGGTTATCTTTTTAATACAACTTTACTGTCTTTAAAATTCAAGTTTTGTGCTTGTTGTGACAACGATATCTATATACTTGTGCAATGTAACAAAATCAATTGTATGTGTATATTTTCAATTATAAAATCTGACTAGGAAGTTAAAAGACAAGTCTTTTTTTTTAAACTTAAAATTATACTGAAACATTTTTTGATAATACACATTTCCTTTATCGCCATAGTGTGACCGTAAAAAATTGTAAGTTTTCGAAATATCTATTAAGGTACTTAAAATAAAAGGAAAACGGAAATTACTTAATGTGTTCGAGAGATACAACTACATTTCATGTTAACCGAATCAGAAAAACAGAAGGTAAATGATTTTTTTTCCAAATGATAACGCTCTGGATACAAGCCACCCAAACTCGTTATCAAAATATGCTTTGACTCAGGGCGCATTTAGGCAAAGAGATTGAGTGTGGATTCATCGTTTTCGTCGAACCGGCACGTTCGTTTCGACCACCAATAAATCCATTGATAAAAAGTGAAAAGCTAATAAGTTCAAATCGCCGACGATAAATTGGTAACTCCGACTGGCGCTTCCCGATTTGAAATTATCGACTGCTAATATATGGTTACGTATCATTATGTTGTACCTGCATACGCCTAAATGCATTTTAATGCCTTTAAAACAAAGTTGGAGTCTTACTAATCGAATAAATTGGATGTACTGTTATTAACGAGTTCTATCTGAAACAAATACTTAATGAACTTAATATCTTCGTTGGAAAACGTTTTACGTATCGTGTGTTACATAATTTTAGAGATAAAACAATCCGAATTACTATTGTCCTTTTTAAACCAAGAATAGAAAAAGCGAAACTAAGATTGAGTTTCTATAAAATAATTATAAGGTATAAAGTCATTATAACAATAAAACATTATAATAAATAAAGATAAATGAATAGTGCAAATACGTTACAACTCGGTGTGCAGAATCATAATTACTTGTAAACGTTAATTAAGACTTATAATAACAAATAAGCGTGTTTGAATACAACTGACATTTGTTCCATTTGGAAGACTTGAATTATTATTATGAGAAATAACAGTAAATTACGAGTATGACAATTATTACTTACGTGCACAACGGCTTTGAAACTTATAATATGCTAAGCAATTGACATCATTCAATACCTAGGAGTTTACTTAAATAGCCGCACACAAAAATGACACTTTTCTTTGTACCGTAATGCTAATTACCAATTATATCAATGTAATAATTCGCTTAACACTGATGGATGATCCCATCAACGTTCTCATAGAAAAGAAAATGCGGTTATGACAGTAACAGGATGATTGCCGTTGAGTCATATTGAATTAGTACTAAAAACATTTGCGTTTTAGAGAAAAACTTTGGTTAAAACTTACTTTTGCTATTAGAAAGTTCAATGGCACTTGTATGTACCTCATTACGAACACGTCGGTGTCCACCGTACAGTCTTAATGTAACACGCACACAAATGTGTGTGTGACGGTAGCTACCCAGAAATTACTTGGAAATCACACTGTAAAGCCCGTAGTTTTCTTTTAATCCACATAGCAAAACGAAGTACCACCGTACTTTCACGTTCTGATATTTATTTTAAGGTAAACGCCATGTAAACGCCGTTACGAACAACAGTTCCGGGTTTGACCATAGTTTTATATAGTGTTGTGTTGCCGCCTTATTTAAACAAGACACGTCAACACCAGTAGAGCTCCTTGTGAAAGTCTTTGTCCAGGGTATTACTGCCACCTTACCTATTCCTGCCGCCAAGCAGTAATATCAGCATTACTGTGTTCGGGTTTCCAAGGGTAAGGATGCTGGTGAAATTACAAGCACATGAGACTTGTCAACTTATGTCTCAGAGTGGCGGGCGCAGTGGTAGTGCCCCTCAGATCTTTGCGATTTAAAGCTTTGAGTCTCACTGCAACTGTTATGGACAGTTCTATTAACATGTTCTATTAATATTATAAAAAAGTCTATATTTAATCAAATGTTATCATATACAATAGGCTATTTCCATAACTATACAGAAAATTTACCTAGATCAAGGCACAGGCAAGCTTGGGTGAATTATGAGTTCAATAACATACATTATTGTACCTGCAGGCACCTTAATTGCTTTCAAAGTTCCTTGAATCCAGTTTATAAACCAGCCTACACGTCACTCAAGTGACTTTTGTAAGCGAACAATTAAGGCTATTGGCAATGCATCGAACAACATTAGAGGTGCGCCCACAGGACTATTACCTATCAGTATTGGCGTGAAGTAATGAAAGCTATTTCACAGTAACGTAACTTGTACGTTCATTATGTCGGGTGTCGATGCCCGCGCCGCGGGTGCACGTTGCATAAATCAGGCAGGGGAATGCTGCCCGGCGCCCTAATGCGCTTTCGGTGTCGGTTGATAGCACACCCGTCCCTCCTCGAACCCCCTCAAAAGGCCTTCGTCATCGATGATTTTTTCATCGATATTTTCATTGACATCTCTAAGCTGAGTTCCAGTTTTAGAGATGATAGAATATTAGCTACGTCTGCATTGAATATCGTGTAATAGCTTATTAAAACAGTTAGAATCAAAATCAATAATTTTATTTTATTTTTTAAGTAAAATCAACTTTTAATATTTTATTCTTGCGATGTACACTCTAACATTGTTTTGATAAAAAGACATAGCATCATAAAATAACAAGCAAAAAACTGTATTATTCAGACTAAAACTATGCGCAAAATACAAAAATTACGAAAGAAGGTGTAAACCTACAGACGAAAAAAAACACCTTCCTATAGAAATTGACGGCTACCTGTAAAGAGACTTTGTTATCATTCAAAAGAATTCTAGTCATTTTAAGCACCGCAGGTAGGTACTAGGTCGGATTTACATTCGTTTGCGAAATTACTTCCTGTTTGTTCCTTCAGAATTTATTAGTACGATTTCATATTGAAAGCAGCAATAACAATCCTTTTGAATATCTTAAGAATTTAGATATTTTGAAGTGAACATATTGTTTGCCGCCGTGCATGAATCAGACTGATGATAAAAGAGTCAATAAAGTTTGTCGAATTCTTTTCGACAAAACTTGTATGAAAAGGTTGTTCGAGCGGAAAAAAGTTGAAGTAAAATGACACTTCTCAGTGACCCCAACCGATCCGATGAAATAGCAATATCTCTTTAGAATTTCTGCATAAACTAGATTTTCACATTCCTAGTCATTTCTCCGGCTTATGCATGTTTTAGTGCAAATGTGAATTGGAGTTAACACTCACATTAGGATACACTATTCAAGTGTATTTTTATTGAAGGTCCTTCTAATAAATTTGATTCATGACGCTATAAAGTTAACTTCGATACCATTTTGTCTTCGTAAGTTGTTAGCGCATTTTAAATCTTTCCTATTTCCAACTACGGAAAACAGACTTTGAAGTAGAAACCAAAGGTGTAAAAATGTCTATCTGTTTTACATGGCTGCCTCCTTGCAAACTTAATAGAGGTCTGAGCCCTGGAAGTTTATGGGAGTGTGTTTACGACCCCAGGCCAAAGGGTAGGCTCAAATGTTGACTACAAGCTTTTACCGCTCGAGACAAAGCAACATAGCTATATATCATTGTAAAGACTAGAAGAACTAAGATATAAGTCTTAGATCTTCGTGTCTTTACAGACACAGCATATAGTAAATTTTGAAATTAGTTTAAGCTTCCAGATAAAAATCGAAATAAAATTAGTGATATGTGGAAAGAAAAAATTGTCAAAAGAAAGCGTGGAATTTACAATCTTGAGTATTTCTTATAAAAACTGTGACTGACTCTGTACTTACCTTCTGTAGTCATTAATTTCCTCTTAGAAAGACCCATCAGTTCCATACTGAGACGTATGGATGTATGGACTACTAGATGTATAGACAGTATAGTAATGCTACAATCTTAATAAAAATGAAAGTAACAATTACATCAGAAGAATTATACTGTGTTCCTAAAGTTCATCCTGTAGATGCGAACTGTTAAATTCCTTAGTGCCCATTCCTCTGGCGCGTATTGTTTAGGTTCAACATTTATACGCCGCGAGGTGAGGGACAATATCAGAATCGTGATGCAACCAGATCTTTTACGAGCAAACGGCCAGTTTTGTTTTTTTTTACCTTTTTACAGACAAACAAGAAAATTGCGCTTCCACTTGTGACGTGTTATTGCTTTTTCGGTTCGAAGGTTAAACACTTTTGAAGTCAAATTACTTTCAAGTTCTTTTTTGACATTTCGTATGTTTTCATAAAGATTTAATAATGACAGTAAAATTTCACTAAATGTATAATTATTATTTATGTTAGTAATCTAGAGTTTAAGGCGCATGCCCTAAGCAGCAATAAAACGAAATCGACATATAACAGGATGACGGTGCTGTGTAAATAAATGCAACACAATTACGAGTAATGAGGTGTAACATATTACAAATAAAACTCATGTTTCATATGTAATCTTTGGAAAGGTTCAGAATGAATGTTGGGATATCGTCGCGGGGCCGACTTATCTTTAATTTAGAGTCCCCGATTAGACCGCTAACCGACATACACTAACGAGCATTCGTTATATTTATTTTTGTTTGTTTTTTATTGAACAGTACGGTGCGGGCGTTTAGCGTAGCCGGCGATTGTGCGAACTTAATTGGATTGTCCGCACTGGATTGTTCCAGCATCTCGAGATACGCGCCGCTCACATTGACGTGATCACAATCGGACTTGTTATTAATTATGTTACAAAATCGAATAAGCCCAAATAGTCATACCGCAAAAGTATTTCTGAAATTGAATCAATACAAAAGACAGGCAGATGTAACCGTTTCTAAATAATTTTGCAAATAATAAGTAAATGATTAAATGTATTGCTTACCTTAGTGGTTGTGAGTTGCAGATGTGATCCAGAGGAAACTGCGCAAATCTTTACTTCGTACTTATCAACGCCAGCTTCCCGGTCCAAAGAGACTGCTGTGGACAAGATCCCCAGTGAGGAATCTATGTCAAACAATCTGTCTACCTGTTTCCCGTCACCAGTCACATTCACTATGTAATATTCTAGTCCTGACTTGTAAGTGTTAGTCAAATTTAACACAGCAGTGCCGGCCGGCGCGTTCTCAGCTACAGAAACACTTCCCACATTCGTCCACGTGACACCCATCAATTCTGATCCACCCATAATAACGGTGAGATAGGTCTCTGTACTTCTTTGTTCACTTAGCACCGCCTCATCCGTAGCCTTTATGACGAGGTTCCACCGTGCCTCGGGCATAGCCGGAGGATACCGCAATGTTAGCGCTCCATTACTCCTATGTAAGTCGAATAGGTCGTTCCCTCCATGAATGAGTTTATACGTGACCAGTCCATTTGTTCCCGAGTCCAAATCGCGAGCTAGAACATTCATGATATATATTCCACGTCCCGTGCTTCTTCCTGTTCTCTCGAAATTAAATACTGCAGCGTTCATAGACACGAATACGGGCGCATTATCATTTATGTCCTCCACTATCACAGTAACTAATTTTTCGGCAGACAATCTAGCCGACAGTGGCTCTGCTCTATCATAAGCAACTACAGTAATCCTAAATGTGTCAATACTCTCTCTGTCAATTGGAAGCAATGTATGTATGACCCCTGTAACGTTGTTTATTGCAAAGTGTCTCCTGCCATCATTCGGCTCTTGATGCGTAATAGAGTAATAAACTTTGCCATTCAAACCAGAATCAGGATCTTCTGCAGTTACGGTCACTATTGGTGTATGCTTAGGAATGCCTTCTCTAATTTGGCGCACAATAGCAGTGTTAGTGAAAACGGGAGCATTGTCATTAGCATCGATAACATTTACAATAAAGGAAATACTTGAAGAGAGGCTTGGACTACCGTTATCCGTTGCAACAACATTTAGAACGTACGTAGTTAGATCTTCGTAGTCCAGTTGTTTATGTAAAAATAGTTCCCCAGAATAACTATCAATAAAAAAGGCTTCCTTTCTGTTGCCCGATGTAATGGAAAACTGTAGTTCTCTGTTGATTCCTAAATCAGCATCAGTTGCATGAAACTGAATAATCTTTTTATTTACGGGTTCTGTTTCTAACACCGATACGTTTAATTGTGTATTTGTGAATATTGGAGGATTATCATTTTCATCTAAAACATCAACTGTTATTGTAGCTGTTGACGATAGACGCACTGATTGCCCAGAATCGTGAGCTACGACAGTAAGCTGATAGCGGTCTACTGTCTCACGATCTAAAGGTTTAGCGATAATGAGTTGACCTGTAGCTTCATCTAACGAAAAATGTCCGAAGTCATCGCCTTTTATGAGTTTGTAGTAAATATCTCCATTCAGTCCTTCATCAGCATCAGTAGAGTATACTCTCATAATAGACGCTCCAATGGCAGTTCCTTCTGACACTTCAACTTTATAAGGTAGCCTCTTGAAAACAGGAGCATTGTCGTTTACATCTGTTACATAAATAGTGACTCTTACTGAATCAGTTAACTTCATTTTACCATTATCGCTTACTGTTACTGTTAATGTTATGTAGTTTTGGCCTAGATTGTGTGCCAGGTTTTCTCTGTCAAATGATTTCAATGTTTTTATAAAACCATTCTTGGAGTCTATTCTAAAGTCATTCTGAGCAGCTGGCAAGCTAAATGTTAATTCAGCATTTCGTCCAATATCCCGGTCTGTAGCGACCAGTTTTCCAACAAAAGTATCTGGAGGTTCATTTTCTTTTATTTTAAATATGAATGTTGTATTCGTAAACTGCGGACTGTTGTCATTTTCATCCAATACATGTATAACTACAGGTACTTGGGAAGACCTTGGTGGTTTGCCATGATCAGTTGCTACAATCGTTAATGAATAATAATCTCTTTCTTCTCTGTCTAATGGACTCTTTACATAAAGGAAACCATCAGGAAAGACACCAAACTTTCCATCTGTGTTACCCTCTGCAATGGTGTAAGATACTGTTCCGCTTGCTTCTAAATCAGCATCTGATGCTGAAATTGCAAAGAATCTGGTATTTACAAGAGTAGACTCTAATAAAGAAGTCTCATAAGAAGTATGATCGAAAACAGGAGTGTGGTCATTAACATCGTCTATTATTGCAGCAATTACATGCTTTGCAGCAAGAGCAGGACTGCCGTTATCTGTCGCTGTGACTTCCATTGAGACCACGCTACCAGGTTCATTGGAAATTGGTTTGTTTAAATAAATTACGCCGGTAGTATCTGATATCCGAAATATATTTTCAGGATTGTAGCTCAACGTATAAAATATAGTTCTATTTGAACCAGAATCTCTGTCAGTAGCCCTAGCGAAGTAAACTTCTTGTCCAACAGCCATATTTTCAGGTATATGAATTTCGTCTTTATCTTCAATAAAAATTGGATAGTTGTCATTGACATCCAAAACAGATATGTTGACGGTAGTAAAACCAAAAGTTATCCCACTTTTTGCCATAATTTTTAAATGGTATGTCATTTTATCTTCACGGTCGATATTAGAATTTGTAGTTATTATACCGGTTTGTTCATCGATTTTAAAAACATTCTTTAAATCTCCTTCTAAAATATAGTAAGACAATGAATCGCTGGCTATTCTAGCACTAACTTTGCCAACAGGTCGCCCTATATGACTTTTAGAATTGCCTTCATCTTCAATAATTTTAAATGTGTATCCATTGTAGTTATCAAATTCAAGATTCCTCCGCTGCGACATTTTAACTATCTCAACTATAGCATCTTCCATTGTTTTTCTATTACCTTTATCTTTACAGGATATTTTTAAAGTGAACAATGTGTTTGAAGCTTTTCGTAGATCTTTATGTAAGATAATATTTCCTGTCCACGATTCCACATCAAAATAACCATCTCCCCCGCTTTCTAATTTATAAATGATTCTTGCATTTTCTCCCTCATCTTCATCAAATGCTTTTACTTGGAGAATATTTGTTCCTATAGGGTGATCATCGCTGATGCTTTCTATGTATCGTCGAGGGTAGAATACAGGATCATTATCATTCACATCTAGCACTTTCAGAAATATTGTAGCAGTTGAGGATTGTGGTGGAAAACCTTGATCTTTAGCCAATACTTGTATTTCGTACAATGAAACTCGTTCCCGATCTAATTCAATAACAGTGCTTAACTGACCTGTGATTGGGTCAAGAATAAATGTGTTTGGATACTTCCTTTCTATACTCGAAGGCAGATAATAAGAAACAGATCCATTTGCACCTTGATCGTAATCAGATGCAGTTAATATAAGTATTTCTTTTATAGGTTTTATATTTTCGTGAAGCGTAGCGTTTATTGTATTCTGTGGAAAAGTGGGTGCTTCATCGTTTTCGTCTAAAATAGTAATTTTTAATCTAGTATAAGCCCATTTTGGATTAGGTCCGCCATCTCTTGCAGACACATTTAATTCAACTGTGCCTTGAATTTCACGGTCTAACACTGCTCTTGTTGTTACTAAACCCGTTAAATGATCTATGAAAAACCACTGTTGTTGATTTCCGTCATAAAAATCATAGAAAATTTCAGCATTTACACCTGTGTCTTCATCTGTTGCAGTTATACTCGCAACGTATGTTCCAGAGGGCGCAAGTTCGCTTAGTATTGCAGAATACTCCGATTTTTCAAACACTGGTTCATGATCATTGACATCATTTACATGAATGACTAAAAAGGAAGTAGCAGTTCGCGCAGGAGTTCCTTTATCAGTTGCAACAACCGTCAAGTTATATTTACTTATTTCTTCGCGATCCAAGATGCCATTGACGTACACAATATAAACACTAGAAGAGTTTTCTAAGCGAAAATGGTTTAACTCATTTCCAGTTACGATACTAACGCTCGTGATTCCATTTAAACCAGCGTCAAGGTCTGTTACCGTAATTGCAGCTACTAAGGAACCATTTTTAGCATTTTCATCAACAGTTGCAAAGTTCGCCGTCGAAGGAACGTATGTAAACGTGATAACAGGATCGTGATCGTTTGCATCTATTAAATTTACAGTAACATAAGTTCGAGCATCTTGTCTCGGCACCCCATGGTCTTTTGCTATAACAGTTAGTACACATGTCATATTGCAAGTCATATTACTGCAGTATTTAGGACAATTTAACTTCTTCGTTGTTGTAATGACCCCTGATTCTGGATCTACAGCAAATTGTTTTTCTGTATCCGTTACTTCGTAAGTTATTTTGCCATTATCACCTAAATCACTATCAGTTGCGGTTACTTTTAGAACTGTGGTCCCCGGAGGTACGCTTTCGTTCAAGGACACAGAAAAATCGCTTTGATCAAAAATGGGCGGGTTGTCATTTACATCTAAAATGCTCACATTGACTTGTAGATACCCGTATTTTGGAGGAGTTCCTCCATCACGTGCTGATATGTTAAGGATATAAAAATCTGTTGTTTCTCTATCCAGTTTTCCTGTGGTTTCTAGATGTAAATACGAAGTCTGGCCACTAGGATTTACAGTTACATTAAGACGGAACTTTCCTTCATTGTCTCCGTCTACTATTCTATAGTCATTGGTTATTCCGTTAACTAATAAATCCTTATCAGTTGCAGCATCGAGCAAAAGTTTAGTCCCGGCGGCAGCACTCTCAGAAAAAGCTACTGCTATACTTGGCTCGGGAAACTCCGGATAATTGTCATTTACATCTGTTACCCGTAATCGTACTTCTATTGGATACGTTGGTTGACTTGATAACACTACAAACGCGTAACGGTCGGATGTTTCTCGATCAAGTACCATGTTTGTTCGTATTTCACCTGTTACAGGATCAAGAACAAACTCCTTGGGTGGTTCATTGAAACGATAAGTAAATCCTGGTTTAGTTGGAATCCGTCCAACGATGGTACCGGCAGGTTGTTCCTCAGGAACCCGAAGGTCGACGCCGGTGTCGACGGCACGGGACTGCATCTGTTCGGTAGCGGCGGCCCCCGCGCTTACGAGCACCGCCAGCGTGATCAGCGTCACGTGCCATCGCCCCATCCTCGTCATGTCATCGGCAACACCATGGCAGGGGTGGTTTCTTGTCAGGGAAAGTGGTGCACCAGGAGCGCACGCTGTGTCCCGTTCGCGCAGAGTTGCGCGCTCGCTCGCCTCAGGTATGCAACATGGCCGCGACGACCTGCGCGCGCACGAATATCTCACGGAGAGTGCGACCCGCCGCTGCGCCTACGCCGTCACATTCATTCGTAAACACACGTGACACACACACTGTACACTAGTCTAAACGTTTCGTCTGTGTAACAGTAAAGCTAACACTCAACAGCAAACTTTATGTCACAAACATCCGTGGAATGTATCACAATATGAAAGCACTTTTCAGTTATGTTTTTATCAGTTTGACAGATGCGTAGCGCGACGGATATGGCATGCGGGCTGCGTCGCGGTCGACACGGCACTAGCAGGCGGAGGCTTTCACGCCGCCCCGCGCCCCTCCCCACGCGCCGCTTGCCACCGCTCCTCCCCGCAGCTTTGAAAGCTCCGGCTGTGACCGAGTGCGCTGCGTGATGATGATACTGAGATAATGGCCGCCGAAGGATTCTACTATTTATTGTTCAATACGAGTCTTTCACTGTTCCGAGAAAAAGTCCGGGTGCACAGGTAAATTTTTAGAACTCGTCATTTTGTTATTGGTATATCTAATCCAATTCAATTGCATGGTTATTTTAATTATGAATTAGTAACAATATGTTTTATATTTAGCTACGGAATTTATTTAATTATTTAATTATTACCACATACGACTGGTAAGTGTCATAAGTCGTTAACAAACCAAAAATAGAATAATTTCGAGTTAAAAAGTTAATTGTCTATATAACATAACAAAAGCGCTCAGCTGATTGTTGTCATCATCACGTACCCATAGTTGATTACAATTACAGTTTAGGTACCCGAAAATGTAGGTACATATTTGTCATTGTCGACAAAATAATTTCTATAGAGCTCCGTAATGCGAAATAGTAGTCGTTGATGTCTTTTCTATGAGATATATGCGCCTGCGCGCTGCAATACAGCATTTTGTAATTGATTCTCTCGTTAAAAAAACATGAACTGAATACTGTGTTTATTTTTATTTGTTAAAATTACATGATTAATATACTTAGGGTATTACATTTTATGTGCTTTATTACTTATTATGTGCTTTATCTAATACATACGTTCCCAATCTTTTTGGCTTACCGCCCTTAGGCCAGTTAAAAAAAAATTTCAACGCCTACCACCACGAAAAATAATTGAAAACACGTATTTTTTATATTAACTTAACACAAAAATCACAAGAAAAATATATAAGTAGGTGTAGTTTATATAGATAATTCAGTTTTTTTTAACGCCCCGCAATTGCTTCCGAGGCCTCTACCCTAGGTCTCTTCAGCTCCCAGAGGGGACGGTAGAGACCACTTTGAGAAACTATGATCTAATATGCGTATGAAAACAAATGACATTATCCAAGAAAATGTTTAATGACATTTGTTATTTAAGTACCCGTTAAGTTTAGTTAGCTTGGATTTTTTGTAATAATATTTTACATTTAATACTAAAAATTTAAATTTTGCAACCTATATACAAGTACATATTTATTCACGTGACACACCTACCATTTTTGTGTTTGTGTACCTTACAAGACGCTAACAAAAAAA